TAGTAAAATAATAGATATGGAAAATGGATGGTTGGGAAGATTGATGGATGTGCACTTAATTCCAGATCATAGCCCATCAATTCAAGCAACCACAGCTGGACTTGAGCGATAGAGATGTCAAGGGGGGGGAATTTTAATGCGCAATGTGGAGTCAATCGCGGGAAGGTTTGATTCTTACAAACTCATTAGTAGTTCATAGAGGCACAAGGGTGCGAGATAAGGAGCCATCATTGAGAACAAACTCCACATTAAGAGTCTTTATTCGTTGGCTTTCAGATCTAAATCACCAAGGAGTGTTTGAATGCACAACAAGGCTCTCTCACACTCTTTAGGGTAAATGGTAGCCATGCTTTGAATCTATAAGGTCCCCCTGTAGGGACGAATAATATAGAACAAAACCCAAGGAGAACCTCAAGGAATGAGCTAGCTCTTCATTGTCATACTTTGAAGGGAACTCTGCATAATAGTATAAACTTAATATTTCAAACCCTTTGTTTTAAATGCTAATTTTAATACATGCAATATTGTAAATGTGGTGGTGGGAAATATGGCTCAAAAGCATCCATAATCGAGGCATTTGACAGCAGAAGAATGGCTATTATTAGGTGCCAGATTGCCTCCCCACATTTAAGTTTGGAAATACTTTAAATCTTGAGTATGACTTCAAAAATCTGGGGTGGCAACATTTAAAGGTTTTTTTGTTAATTTTTTTTGTCATAATTCAAAGGCAGTGAGCCTAAGTTAGGCTGCTTGACCTTGGCATTAATTAATTAATCAAAATACACTATGCTAGCCAAGTACAGGGACAAAATGAGCTGGCAATGATAAAAAAGCTATCTGCTCACAAATCTTAGGAGTGTACAGATCAGGGTCTCTTAACCTTTAGAACTTCCAGCTATAATTTGTGATTTTTGGTCCGCCTGTTTTTTTGTCTGTGACAACTCTATCCTTTTAAGCATATTAAATATATACGCATCTTTTTATTCAGAACAACCTCAGCTGTCAGTTTATGGATGCAAAAATTATGTAAAATCAATATGACAGTAGATTCAGAATCATCAAAGTCAACCAAAAAACAAAAACGAAAAATGATACCAACAGTACTTTGCTCAAAAACACATAAATCTACAGTGACCAAGCCTTCTCTCACCTGCACATCATTCTCTCAAGCCTTGGCTATCAGGAGAAGAAATATTGTGATTGGAACAAACACACAACAGAAACTATTTACATATTAACACTAATTCTTCCATGCGTTTTTTGCTATTTACAGTTGTTTATGCCACTCCTTGAAGCAGTTCCTGTCTGGGATGAGACAGAGAGCCACATCATACTGCTCATAATCTCTTCTTTGCTTGTTTCCCAACATTGAGAACCATTATTTCTTATTTTGCAGACAAGCAGGAAACTTTCTCTCTCAAACCTGGAAGACATTAGCGGCATTTAGCGATAGTGATAGAGACCTTTTTTTTAATCATAACAATATGATAAATAACCATGTTTTCACTGGTATATCACTGTGGATTTACCATCAAATGTCTCTGATCAAACACTTATTTTTGTGACTGGATTGTAAACCTTGTGGGAGGTGTAGAAATGCCTGGAAACCCTCGATAGATCGCCAAGAGGGTAAGTGTTCGAGCACTTTTCATTCCATAGAGATACACTGTATAGTTCCTGAGAAACTCTAAACAATATTAATGGTGTCACGTGGCATCGCAGGCGATTCAGCGGAGTTCTAAGTGTTAAAATTAGCTTAATTACTTGGTAGAGTCTGCCCCAGCTAGCATCCTGTTTCCGCCAGTAGATTGTTATTAAAGGAGCCACTCTATGTTGACCAAGGCATTAACCTGAAATTAACTCTTCGAGATTCATATTAAAAGTACTGAAACATCCCTTTAATAATAGCCTGGTGTCACTAGACTGATTCGCCTTGTTGAACAGGTCTGGGGCCCTGTTTCCTCAGTAGGGCTCTGGCAATGGTGGCATGCAAAAGTGTCTTTGGAGGGTCGGACAGATCCTCTATGGTGGTGATTTCATAGTATCAGCATTAGGCATTCACAGGGGAGTACTTTTTCACTCTTGGTATTGTGGGAAAGTTTTCCTAAATTGCATTGTCAGTTTTACTTCAGTTCAAATCCTGAATACCTCCTCGATCCCCCAGCCGAACACTAACTTACTTTCAATTTACGACCTACATCTTTTGACCTCCTGATTGTACGCGACCCTTTTTGTCCCTGCAGCAATTATATCCAGCAGCGCGATTATTCTGTGTTTCTGCCACTCACTGTTCGTTAAATGTCAGGAGGAATTAAAGGCGAGAAAGACGCTCGGCTCGAATAATGTAATCTGTGAGCCACTAATTGACTGCGGCTTACTTCAAAGAACCTGCCCAAACTCTTGGAAAGCGAAAGAGGGGTCGATAAAGTTGCCCAGAAGAGACGTTCTGTTGTTGTGTTGTCAGATATGAATATTAATGGCTTGTAGTTGAAGGGACATAACTGATAGAGCATTTTATACAATGAGTGGGTGAGATGATATAGATTTCTCAGGCTGCTCTTATGAAGCAGTTTGCTAATAAATCTCATACATCATCTTCCCTGCAGACACTCCAATAAGTCCATTTTACTCCCTGTATTAATTGAAACAACACAATTATGAAAATAATATGCTGCTGTCTGAACCCACGAGAACAACTGTGTGTGTGTTTGCTGCTGTTTTCGACTGCTCATGTGTAAAAACATCTCCCTGTCGAGTCTATTTAATTACATTTCAGGTCATGAGATGTGTGTTGTGTTGTGTCTGGCCGTGGTGCAAAACAAACACGCATGACGTGAAAGAGTGAATTGTAAATAGTCACAGTTGATTACAGGTTTAGTGGGTGTGTGAGCTTGTTTAACCAAGTGGTTTCAGGATGTGAGGATGCATATCGAGGTGTTAAATGCACACTTGTGTCGCATATTACAAGTCATTTCTTCACGGGTCAACAAAACACTGCAAAAATTAACATTTCCAAGACAATAAGGCTAATTCACAAGAGGTTTGTGATATCATCTGGGTGTAAAAAGGACATCCCGAAGAGCCTTGAGTCTTTCAAAAGTAAAATCGAGAAGAAATTCGCCATTCTGTGAGAGACTGCGTGAGCAAATGCTCGAGCTGAGTCAAAAAAAAATGGTTCATACAGCATGAATTGAAAGCATTTCATAAGCAATTGTTCTCAATATCGCTGAGAGATTCAGAGACTGCATTAGATGGCCATCACTGCATTCAAAACTGACATGACTCTGAAGTAGGAGTCACCGCATGGCCTAAAAAATCACTGTAAATATGTATTGTTTGTGAGAATGCTCAGAATTGAATCATGCAAAGAGGAAACCATACACAAGCATGAGCTAGAAACACCAGAAACTTCAAACACTATGGCTCCTGAGTAGAAGAGTTATTCCGTCTTTTCACAATTTCCAATTACGGTAGAAAGGATTTGCAAACATTTTCCACAGCGGCCCAACTTTTCTGTACTTCACACTCGTTTTCAGTGTTGTGGGTATTTGATCTGTAAGTGTTTTTAAACCTCATCACATCACAGACTCGGGGAAACTTTCAATGCAAGACTTATTTGTATTGTTTCAAAGTTAACAAGAAAGTCAGATAAAGGCGCAGTATGATAAGAGCGAGTGTTGATGTCTGAAATGTGGACAAAAAGTGAATATCTAATGGCGTACAATTCGAAGAGCATTTTATTTCTTGAAGTCTTTTCTCAGATGTTCCTTTCAGAGAGTTCTTAAAACTTCTGTTTTATAATGGGTGATTAAGTAATAAACAGGGCGGGTCATACTGGGACAAAAGTGAAGAAGATTTACAAAAGAATGAATAGAAAAGTTTGTTCGGTTTGAGCCCCCCCGCTGCGTAGCCTTCATTTAGTTTGTGACTCCGTCTTTGAGCTCCGGTTGTATCTTTGATCAAAGATGGGCATCTTGGTGAGTTTCAGTTCAAAAGTGATTCATTAATTTGAAGTCGGGCCTTAAAGTGAAAAATATCTCCCAACACACTAATGCTTTCTGCAAATGTCTCACCTTTGGATGAGCACACTGCTTCTGAGCCTCAGAGGATCAGATGGATCATTTGTCTTCCCTGCTCTATATATATATATGTGTGTGTGTTGCTTTTATAACTTTGCATACATCTGAAATGATGCGTGTCTGCACACAAACCCATAAACATTTATTAATGTAGGGGGGATATCTACGCTTGTGTGCAAACTCCGGATGCATTCCTCGCATGTGAAGTTTTCCGAGAGCGAGGGTACGTGAGTGTTCTTGCGAGGAGCTTGGGACGCATCAATTAAGATAGAAAATGGAAAATTAGAAAGGGCCTACTGTTCCCCCAGAGAGGAGGAGTGAATGAAAGTCATGCAGAAAAGCACGGCTGGTGATAAAACCCTGCAGCCATTGTTGTGTGATTAAGGACTAGGTTTGAGCCATTGTGGGGGGTTAAATTATTCACACAGCAGGAAAAACAACCAAATGGTGTTTGCATAAGTATGCATGCACATGTTCGTATGCACGGTGGAGGACTGATGGAGCATTAAGGGAGGGGGGTCATTCAGTGGATGCTGAACAGGGTGGCTAGAGTGTCAATTAGGAAAAAGATGGTGGAAGCGCTTTAGCTTCTCTGCAGCGTACTATCCGGTGCAGTTTCTATCAGATATTGTCAGAATTTTCCTCTTCAAATTTACTCAACTTCAAGCAACCTTTTAAGCACATTTATATGAAGTTTCTGACAGCAAAAAGAGAATATTTTTTTATATTATTTAAAGAGCAAAAAACTTTAGATCATCAGACAAGAGCAAAGAAAAGAAGATTAGATGAGGAAAACCATGCAGAGACTAGAAAGGATGTTAAAACACAAGAAAACGGATGCGACATCTACCAAATTGAAGAAAACAGACACAAATCAGCATGGCCCCCAAAATTCCAGATTAAGCCGACCATAAATCCAAGGTCTATGGAATATTTCAACTCTTTATTTCCTGTTTATCAGTTACAACTTCTGTTTATATTCTGTACAGCACTGAAGGCACACAAAAACCAAAGATAGAATGGAACATAAGTATATACAAAATATACAGAATAAATAATTCAATCTAGTTAAGTAGAAAAGCTACAGAGTGTGTGCTTACATGAACCGTTTCAAAGTTGAATGTGTATGAAGGGAGTGTATAGTATAAATCCTGCACTGTCCCAACAGCAGTCCATTGCTTTTAACAGAGGGTGGGGAAGGGAAGGGGGTCAGCTGAAGTCAGTCGGCAGGTGGTCCGTATGAAAAACTGGAGCTCCTGGGTGACGGCGCTCATCAGTACCCATTAAGTGTGCTAACAGTGTAACATATCCCGTCTTTGAGGAGTTCAAAACAGTTCCAGCGTGGAGGAGCTTTGTTCCTGAATGCTGCTTGAATATCTTCAGACATAAATTAGTCGCATGAAACGCAGTCTCACATACAGGCACACACACTGAAGGATCACACTCATTTGTGGCTCAGTCGAAAATAAAAAACAAACAAACGAACAAACAAACAGAAAAAAAAGAAATCAGCAGGATTCAGTTGATTGTCATGCACCATCTTATGGCATTTGATTAGTGCAATGCATTTTTACAAGATTACAGTTGTGTAGAATATACTGTACTTTAAGTGCCGTATTTACTGATTGAGAGAAGAATACACATCCTTTCTGTGAATATCACCACTCTGTATAAAAATAAATAGAGGTCCTATGACTGCAGCTGTGCAGCGTCTTGTATTGATCAAAACAAGTGACGGATCAGCAGTGGACCCGCGCTCCTATCACTGTTTTCCGATATACGGTTGGCATTTTGCTGACTCTACGGCACAATGAGCATTATGGATACAGGATTCCAGCTGGCTCGTGTTGACAGGGGGTGTAATCAGGTCATACCCCGAGTAAGGATAGACTGATTAAACAGCAATTCTGGGTCAAGTGGTGATTGAAATTCACCCACTTCTTTCCAAACATCTGCTTTATCCTATCGGGCTGTCACATAAGGGAGGGGAAGGGGGAGGGGGGTGAGCGCTATGCGGATCAATTCAAGTTGGCTGCAGTGCGCCGTGGATATTTCATCAATCATAGAATGCTGATTGAGCTCTAATTTCAAAGTTGGTTTCAAGCCAGGTCTGCTCAACAGACTGTGGTAGCTTCTTTAGGTTCTATTTGGCCAAAAATACACTTCTCACCAGCTACATAACATGGCTGTCAACGCATACAGGTAACAAAGAAGAAACCAGTTACATTCTGTGCTACAGTTCAACTGAAAGTGATGTGCCCATGGTATATATTTCACACTGTGGAAAGTACAAGAGGGCAAACAGGACAAGGCACTTGGTTCAAATGTAATATTATATTATATAGAGTTGTTTTCTGTTTGTGTACTCTCAGTTAAATGCAGTTTGATGCTCCAGAACCTCTAAGTAATCTGGTTCAGTATGCAAGTTGGCCTTGAGTTCAAAGTACTCGTTCTTAGTTTGCTCCAGCATGACCTTGCGTGGTCTTGAGTACATAATTGTTTCCATTAGCTTTAACTCCTCTTGGTGCCCCGGGACCTGCATGTCAACAGCAGACTGGAGCTGAGGCATATTCTTGCGAAGGTACTCTGTTATACCGAGCTGCTGCAGCTCCTTCTCCCGCTCCAGAATGTTCCTGTACAAAGAGTTGGGATTACCCAGAGTGACGAACTCTGCGGGGCACTCTCCGGTCATGGGTCTGAACTTTGAGCTGGGGTTTCCGGTGAGCGGGGAAGTGTTCTCCTTCTCCATGATACTCCGGCAGAACTGGTGCTTAGTGCTCGGGTCGTCCATGCTGTAATCCAACTCGGCGTCGTGCTCCTTGTGCTGGGAGCAGTACGTGGGGTTGCGGCAGATCTGCACGATAGGGCTGTGTGATCTCTCCTCATAGAGGGTGGCGGACCCCGTTCTTTGTGTCAGAGTGTGGTGTGTTGTTTTTTGTCCGTACATGCTATAGTGTAAGTGGATGGGGCTGCTGCTGTTTTCACGCGGCTGCTCCTCTGCTGCTTTTTTCTTAGCCCTGCGCCGACGCCGGTGCACCACAAACACCACCAATCCGGCTGCGCAGAATATAATCATAAGGACAAACATAAGAAGGCTTAAGATGAGCACAGAGAGGGGGACGGTGTCTGTGAGTGAGCTGAATAAACCTTTGTCGACGCTGTCAGGCCCCAGGGTAGCTGTGACACTCTCCTCTCCGTCTGGAGACATCGGGAAGTACGTCCCCAATCCGGGACATAGCACCTCATGACGCAGGCTTCTCAGTTCAGCCTGAATCACTTTATTCGGGGTCTGACACAAAATGGAGCCCACCACCGTGTCCTTTCTGAGTTTCTCCACCCATTGTTTGAGGCTCAGCAAGTCACAGCTGCAGTCCCAGGGGTTGTCCTCTAAATAAATCTGCTCCAGCGAGTCAAGTTGATCAAGCACGTTGCTCACTGGCAGATGCATAAGTAGATTTTTCCTCAAGTTTAATTTGGTGAGGGGCACGTTGCGGAATATCTGCGCTGGGAGGGAGCTGAGCAGGTTGTTATTTAATGACAACAGCTTCAGGTTTGGCAGGGGATTAAAAGTGCCTGGAGCAATCTCTTTGATAAGATTGTATTCCAGATACAGGTATTCAAGGTTGTGCAGTCCCACAAACATCGTGGAGAAGAGTTTCTCAATTCTGTTGCCGTTCAAGTACAGCTTTTTCAAACTGCTCAAGCTGAGAAAAGTTTCATTATCGATGTAATCAATCCTGTTGTTCGCAAGGTTGAGCAATTCTAAGCTATCGTAGGTGACAAAATCATACTTGAAAAGTTTCTGGATCATATTCCCCGTCATGACCAGCTTAGTCGGGCTCTGTTGAAGTATTCCGATATCAGACACCTTCTGAATCCCTCTGTCCTGACAATGCATCAAAAACCCAGCCACAGGGTGATTGTGACAAGAGCAGTGCTCCACACAAGGGCTGCCGGGAATGTGAGACGGTGTCGGTACCTTTGCGTCGTCTTTGGCGTTGTTCACCTTGGGAATCTGAGCCACTTTGGATGAGGGGGTCACGACCATATCCAGTGACTTAGACGGCTCCTCCAGGTTGATGTCTGCGTGAGAGGGGCACAGAACATCCCGCTTGACTTTAGCAAGAATAGTCCCCTTAAGATGATGTGGTGTCGTGCAGACCACATCCCCCAAAGCCGACTGGGCCCTCATGTTCTCCATCCAGATTTTCAGATGTAAAATATCACAGTCACAGACCCAGTCGTTGTCCTCAAGGAGGAGTTCCATAATCCGTCCGATGTGCTCCAAAAACCCAACATAAGGCAAGGTCTGAAGCTTGTTGCCACGTAAGTCCAGGTGGGTGAGGGGAACGAACCGGAAAATGTTGCTGGGCAAAAACTCGATGGAATTATCGTTGAGGATTAGGACCTTGAGGCGGATCAGTTTGTTGAAGGCCCCCGGCTCGATGACCCGTATGAAATTTGTGTCGGCTTGGAGAAACTCCAAGTTCACCAGGCCTTGAAAAGTGTCCTCTTTCAAAGTGACGAGGAAATTGCTATTTATGTGGAGTTTTTTCAGTGAGCCCAGCGAGCTAAAGACCCCCGGCTCCAGCTCTTGTATGCTATTACCCCCAATGTGCAGCGAAAGGGCATTCTTAAGCCCTTCCATTTCCTCTGCACGGAGTTCGACCAAGTCATTTTTGTAAAGGTTCAGGTGGAAGGGCACACCTGCTGGGATTTTGATTTGGGAGATTTTGCTGATGTTTCTCTGCTCGCAGTTCAGATGAAGGATGCCATCTTTTCCCTCGCAGGAGCACAAGGAGTCACAAGACTCGCTAATGGAGGATGATGCCTCTGAGGGATGGATATCTTGGGATTGGACCGCAGAGAGGAACAAGCCGATGAAAATGATACAGGGCAGCATTTCGCCTCGAGATGTCTGTGGAGACAGATATGGGAAGAAGGGATAGGAAGAAAAAGAAAATAGCATTGAGTGTACATGTTTTACAAGGTTTTATACAAATTTAATACATGGGTCTATATGACACTCTTAAACTATGCGCACGTGTCATACAAGTTTCATGTGCCAGAGTACATGAACTTGGATGTCTTTGTATGAAAGCATTATGGCGTAAAAATACAAGCATGGCACAATCTATGCATGAGTGGAGGTCACACTCTTCTTGGATGAAAGGTTATATACCATAGAATTACAGCCCCCAGTTACATGAGTTGGGACCCTGTGAAAAAAGTTTTTAAATCTGAATTTGATGTTTTGCAAATCATTTGAAGTCTTTGTTTAATTGAAAAGGGGGCAAAAAAAAAACATTTTTTGTGTTGCATATGTACGAGAAGCCCATGCAAAATAAAACTCCTTCCTCTATTTAGGATGCAGCATCCATGATTTCCAAAAAGAGAGTCTAATTTTGATTTGTCTGATCTAATGACGGTTTTTCACTTCCCCTCAGTTCATCTTAAATGTCAGCATTTCTGTATCATGTTTATGCACATGTATGTCCTTCTGTTCACATAAAACTTTCTCTTTGCAATTCAGTCTTATCCCTTTCGAGATCCTCACATGGTATTTTGTAACACATTTGCAGTAATGTATCCTGAGTGGCTATAGGGAACATGAGTTTAATCAAGTGAAACAGCTAACGAGAATCCTAATAATCCATATCAAACAGTCATCACAATCTTGAGTTTCCAACTAGATGATGGATTTTACCAATGAGTAAATACATTTCACAAGATGAGCAATGACAGTAAGATGGCATCTCTGTTCAGCGACTCACAGTGGGATAATGGTACATTCAAAGAAATGGCTCTCTCATTTGACTGATTTTTCTGCCCTTTGTATTCAGGACTCATTTGAACACAGACTTACTCAGCGTGACTCATACAAATGCAGAAGTCACTCCGGTTCATTTAGAATTCTCGTCTTGGAAAAGATTTACAACGGGCTTTTAAAACACCCAACTGGAAATAAATGATTGTGTCTTTACTGTTCGAGCAATTAACTCTCGCTTGGCTGACTTTGCAGTGAATTAATCAGCAAACCGCACCTATGTTCATCAATTTGATCGCTAAATGTGTTAATTTGATAGTGTTATTGTGCTGCTCTGAAGCGTCTGGAGCACACGGACGGTGCCGCCCGCTGAAAACAAGCCCTAACAGAGAACTCAGACTTCATTTTAAACTGGATTTATTTGGAACGATGTGAGAAGCGCCGCAATGCGATTTTAATGATGGCATGCCTCAGCGCCACATCTCAATCCATTACGTTAATTTGACTAAAATCACAATGGATCAAAGGGTAGATCACTCTCGGGGGCCCGGTGGGGAAGTGTAGCCATCTCCTCATGATCAAGGAGAAGTAGATATCCACCGTTCACTTACAGAGTTCTTCAAAGAGATAAGAAGTCGGACGACGGCAGGAAGACACAGCTGCTCTTGTTAACGAATGAGATAAGCATCTGGAGAGCTTTATTCAAACAAGACTAGGCAAGCCCAGTATTTCAGCCTGTGGAGAACGGAGTTTGTCAGAGGCTCAAACCTCTGACTCATAATCCGTCTATAAACGGTGCTCGACCTCTCTTTGACCATAAATCACTTTCTCTCCATTGAGAGTCAATGAAATGTAGGGCACGTTTTTAATAAGGGTGTTTCCCACCGACTTTTCCCTGAAGAAGGTAGAAGAAGTCATGCAGAATGCAGACCGGAGTGCACCTCTGGTGGAGAATGCAGATCAGTTATTTGATCCACAAAACGGAGATTAACTCTTATGTGGGCTGTCCGGTTGAATTGGCTCACAACTACTCAGTCGGAGAAGTGAGTAAACCAAAACAGGCATGAGGATATTAACCTGCAGCGAGTATTCAATGCCGCTGATGATGTTAGCCACACTCAGGGAAGCAATATGACAGTGATTACCAGCAGACTCCATGTTTAATGAATGCTTTCTGAGTGAGTCAGATAGCTGGTGTGAAAAACAAAGCATCAATTTGTGGCTTTGCAATGATGGATGTTACACAACAAGTAATTACCTAGTCCTTTATGTGGTATTTCAAAGCAGACAGGATTACAAAGCGAACACCAGCAGAGCTAGCACCACCGGCCATACGATTTCATTCACATTTTCTGGTTGAAAATGGTGCAGAAGAGTGTTTGTTTACATATGGATGGTAGAGCATTCTGGCCTGGAAATAATAGTTTTCACAACTTGCTTAGCCGAGTAACAATCCTGGAAGCAGCTCGCTTGAGTGACGATATTTACCTCAGCATATTCAAAATTAAATATACTACACAGTGAGAAACAAAGAGAAAATACACTAAATTACAAACCCACAGCTCAGATGGCTTGTGATGACTCGTGACCAGAACCCCTCCAGTTTGCTCTCAACTTCGAAGACAAAAGCAGCACTTGAAAGTCATAAATCTCCTACTTTTTTATTCTCTTTCACATTTTTTGCCAAGCTAATCTCGCTTTGGTTTATTTTCTTCCTATAAGGGTGAACCCAGAGTTATGAGCCGAGTCGAAACTTTCTTCGATGTCTCTGATGTGCTCAAGCGTGTACCCCCAGGTTACCATTAACTATTCAGCTACAGTAGACCGAGACTTACACCCTTGCGCTCTCCTGACCTGGGGAACATCAAAGTACCGCGAGGAATATTTGCTAGTTGTTATTTGAAGCAGGAAAATAAACCTTAACAACTTCTTTATCGTATGTAAATCTCTTGAAATCATCATTAAGAGTCTACCTACAAAAACAGTCCTCAAACTTAAAGCCTTAATAATCCGTTTTACTCCTCTCCAAAGGGAATCACCGAAACATCAGACAGAATGGAGCAGAATAATTAGCTGCGTGCTCTCGCCTTCAGGGACATCCAGTGCTGTTTGTCAGCCTGCGCCGATAACAATATGGAGACCAGCTATTGAAACATCTCTCCAAATGACAAATGCACACGTCGTTTGTAAAGCCAATAATCCTGCAGACGCATAAAAAATCGTGATAAGCAGCAAATCTTGTCGACTTCGGCTATTGTCAGTGAGTCTCGTTTGCATTTTGGAGGACAGCCTTTCGTGTCATCTTTGTACCCCTCGTAAATGAAACTGGAGAAACGGTATGAACATTAACCTGACAGTATAAAAATAAATAACTCCTTTGATTTATTATGCATATGTGCATTTGAGATTCAGACATAGAGGATGGGTATATTCGATCTGCTTTATTGTTGCTTTTATCCCTTTTGAGGAGATTAAGAGGAGGATGTGTGAAAAAAAAATCTAAGTGGTTAAATATTATAGGCTCCCGACATCATAACGTCTCAAAATTTGACCGCTTTAAGTCTCCCAAATGTGTTTCGTCACATAGATGTCAGAGACGGCTGGATAAAATGACCATATCTGACTTTGAGGTCAAATTAGCCGTGTTTATTATTGGGATATATTACATGCTGGAATTAAATTTCACTTCAAATCTGATTTCTCAAAGCCTATTACGTATGCAATTTTGAGATGGCTCCAGAACTCTTCCCCTGAGGATCTCTCCGGTCATTTACTTTCATTACTTATCTGTCTCAGCAGCCAGGTGGCGGTCACTGTACCTGAGGCACTCACCTCTGTGACCCTGATGGTTCGTGAGACAATGTGAAATGAAACAGACTATTGACAGATGTTATCGCAGGCTGCATGATGATACTGCTGGGGGCAGATATGGGAAGGCATTCGCCTCTTGCACTCCGTCCTCAATATTTCAAAAAGACTTCTCTCACCGATCCATTTTTTTTTTTCCCCAGGTAATCAATGTTGCATGGAACTCAGCGTGACGGGCACGAGAGATGAAACACTTCTCCCAGTGCTGGTCTCTCTTTTCTTTTCAAATTTAAATGCGCATCTCTTGCTGTTCAGACAATTCAATTAGAGGTCTAGCGAAGCCCTATGAGAACTCCCCTCATGCATGAGTGTGAAGCCAAATCATCATCCGACATCAGATGAGATGAGTTAGAGGGAAAGAAAGAGCTGGTTCTCAGTCGATGAGGGAGCGAGGAGAAGAAAAATCTGTAGATGGAAGATTTTTCTCACATTGAGCTTTCTCCAGGCACATACACAAAAGGCATTAGCCACTTACAATCCCAGAAATAGCATATTCACACTACTCTGGAGCCAGCTATAAGATGTACTGTTGCAGTGAATAGGTGCATAATATCAGGAAAAAAGTGCAGTGTTTTCAAGTGGATCAGGTTTGATTATAATCTGAAGATCGCTGAGAATGAAACTGCCCTGTTTCTAAAGGCAAAGGAGATGACGGGTATTAATAGTAGATCATCACATGCGAGGGTCGTTATGATTTGTTCAGGTTCAACTTGAAGACTTTATTACAGTGCCTTAGAGGAGTCCTACATAGCCCCTCTGAATGGGTTTTTTTGTCAGTTAAAGAAGAGTCTCGCACTTCAGTGAAAGATGCTTACATCAGCTTACATGTGACTACATAAAGCATGTGTTGTAGAGTGTTTCTGAAATGTCAGGCATTTCTATGTGCATAATAATGAAGATCTGATTTTAAAAAAAGAGTTAAAAAATCACCTTTACTCTTCTGTTAAGCGCCACGATAATTAAAATTGGGGGTCGTGCTAGTCCAGGCAGGCCACAAAGTGAAACTCAGAACACAGTTCAACGGCTGATCTAACCGATATTGATATTGGATATCGGTCCCATATCAGCCAAAAAACAAATATCAGATTATATCGGCCTGCATCTAACGTCTCTGATATCAGCACTCGGATACAGGTAGTCCATTCCAGACTCCGCTCCAGCACCTCTATCTAGCAGTGCCCCGATCCAGCACGCAGAGCCCACGTGATCACAACAACAGTGTGTACTAAGGTACTAACAAAGTAGCAAAGAATCAGGGTGATGTCTGCCGTGTGGCAGTATTTTTCGTATTATTCCGAAAAAGAAGTTACAACTGAGTGCAAAACTTGTCATGCACAAGCTTGCGCCAATATCGGATCAATATCGGTATCGCATCGGAGTAAAAAGTTGTATCGGGACACCCCTACCCAATACCTGCCCTCATCAAATGGGATTATTACTGTGTTCAAGTTACTTCAGAAGTTATTTTAGCGCTTGCCTTATATTCGGACAAGGCAAGCGCTTAAACAACTTTTGTATGCAGCCATCTTGTTTCCGCCTCCGATTTTGCTTATTTCCGACTTGGTAACTGAAACGCTGGTAACTCGGGTGTGACGTCACTTTCAGCTTGGACTTCTGACTTCAAAGGTAACTTGAATGCAATATAAAGTCCAACTTCGCTGCTGTTCTCCCTGCCTTAGCTTCGGAGTACCATGTATGCACGTGGAGGGGCTGGGAGCTCTCGGAACAAACTCATACCTACAAATAAAGAGGAGAGATCTAAGTGGTCCTGACTGAAAATGTGATTTAACTGTTAGTTTTTGTGTTGACGGTTAAAGTGAGAAAGTATCAACTATTCCCAACGCCTTTCCTCTAACCCTCAGAGAGATAGTTGCCACTGTGAAAGTAGAACTCATTCTTGGTATTTGCACTGAGGCTTAGTCTTGGGATGGTAATCAGTCTCAGAGCTGTTCCATACGAGCCCGTGATCCATCATCATGGTGTTTGATCTCTGTCATGAGTATATATTACATTTACATTTTAGCTTTCAGACATGGAGATGATAGGACGGTATATTAAACACTATTTATATGGTTCTGACAGCAAGCCTCAGACTTGTGTGAATTAAAATGTACTCCTTCAACCACCTTGTTGTCAAGACCCATAAATCACCGCGTCTGCAGGTAGCCTAGTAATGAGGTGGACTGAGGTCATAAAACGCGACGAACTGAGGTGTCAGCGAGGCGTTTTCAAACAAGAATGAAACTGAAGGAATTCTACCCACAAGATACCCACTGGATAAGTTTAAAAAACATAAATATGGAGTGACTTTTATCAGTCTTGACGGAGTTGGGAGAATGGCTCTGTCGGGTGCCACTAGGGATAACAAGCCCCTCATACTTGTACATCAAGATGCCTCACGCTACAGAAACAGGAATTAGGCTCCTGCCTTATGGGCTATTTGTGGCTGCAGCATGCTTTACTTGCTTTGACAGTGACGAGGACAGAACATGACTACAGCCGTGTTCGTATTATCTAAAAATAATGTCTTAAACTGTCAACTGGATAATATGCACGCTACTCGGCGCACTTGGATCCAGGTTTATGATGTGCTCACCGGAGCTGAATTTGCAAAGTGTGTGTCAGTCCAAGGGAAACCATTACAAACGCCTCGAAGGTGCACATAAAGTGATCTAATTCAATGCAAATGCTTGCCAGTAAAGGTCTTACACTGTATAGTATCATTCCTTTTTAGTATTGTAAGAGTCTGAATCTGGATAAGGACAGCGAGAAGTATTTGATGTGCCCATTGGACTTATCAGCCTTTAAGAATATTTGTGGCTCCATTACTTTCCAAATTACCCAGAGCAATGGGGCCAGTTACTCCAATGTCCCAAGCCTAATTATGGCAGTTAAGGGTACAGAGGTAGGCAGCCAAGAAGCAGGTCTGAAAATCAACTATTTTACTTTTTTAGCACTTTAAAAAGTTGGGAGCAACAGCAAAAAACAAAACAAAACTGTGGAGCAAGAAAAACTATAATATACTGATACTGATGATTAACAAACGTAAGGAACATGTATGCATTTCGAGTAAATATGAAAATATTTCTGCTTAAAAGTCAAAAGTGCTCCATACTATCTTTAAAAATAAATTTAAAGCTCAAGTGAGGGGCTTTTGATTTGTGCCAGTTTAGGCGCCCCCCTGTGGACAAAGCAGTCCTTGCTTATCTTGCCGAAAAAATCTCAACCTTTTGACGTTTGACAGTCAATTGTGTCATTTATTGTAAATATTTGACATGGAAACAGGCCTGTTTCTTGACACCTACCCCCTCGCACCCGTCACATCAGTCTCATCCCTGATGGTCTTGTTTGCTTTTGGATATCATTAAAAGGCATCAGTATGAATTTCAGCCAAAAGGAGCTTGAAGTAATTTAGTAACTACTTCCAAATATGCTTAATGTGATGAAAGTAAAGTTACATTTTGCAATTAGGGCTGGGCGATATGGGAAAAGTTTATCACAACATATTTTTTTCATATCAGTCGATATATATCGCAATATATATCACGATATAATAAATAAAATTTAACAGTGCTTACTGGCAGAACGTCTTTTGCAATACAATAAGCTATTGCATCTGTGAGGTCTTTGTGTCTCTTCAACGTTTTGTCGTAAAGCGTTGTGCTAGAGAAAGTGAACTGAATGGCTGACTGTTTCGGATGCACAAGCGCCATGGGCCCCTTGTTCCACTCGGGGTTTGTAACCTTTTGCATTGTGCGTGTGCTCTGCTGCGTCGCACTGCTTCAGCTGGTGAAAAAGATTTGAGGTATTCCCCATAATTTGCAGTGCATATTGCTCTGCTTCATGTCCGACCTCAAAAAAACAAAATACCTCCAAACCAACGACGTTTTCGTGCCAGTGTTATCAACCATCTGTTGAGCCTTTATCTGCATTTTTGCCGGGGGTAGCCCTCATTTTCTTTTTTGCTGTGCTGTTGGCTTCACGTGTTAAAGTTCCATGGTTGTAAAAGTTCTAGCTGCAGCCTGCTACTAAGTAGTTGTTTGCTACTTCAACTCCCCTTTTCATTTACTATTCGTATCGTCTACCAAACATGGCAGAATGCCGACTATTTAAAATTATATTGACAATGTTTTATATTGATATTGACGGAAATTAATTTTCTATATGCATCGTTATCATTTTAACGCCGAGCCCTATTTGCAATAATAGATTATATCTACTAGTGCATTATTGAGTTCACTTAAATGTTGCAGGTGGTTAAGTTCAAACCGTCACTTAACTTCAATAATGGATCAGAAGAACATGAGGCTGATTTTCTTAATTTTTATTTTTTGTAAATTTAGAGGAAAAAGATCATTCTGAAATTAAAGAGAAACTATTAATCAGTTCAAACATTTATAAAGTCCTACCTGACAGTTTACAGCTAAAGGGAACCAAAGTTAATACATCAAGTAGACCAGCTGCACCAAACTTTTGCAGCTTTGAATAAATAAGCCAACCCCACATCCTCCTCCTGGCTAGGACTTAGGTTGCAGTCCCTCTGTTGTACTGCTCCACCACGCAGACACTAAGATCCTTTTGGCGGTGCTGCAGCAACACACACACTCATACACTCACACACACACACACACACTCAGCCTGGGTGACCAGGGAGATGAGGCTCATGCCCCCACGCTCTGCCGGCTGCTTTGGGCTGCGTCTTTACAATCATCATCAGTGGCCTGTTTAAGCACCATCAGCTGTGTACTGTCTCGTGCAGTGCAGTAGTTCAAACAGCTGGCAGCAGATCATATGGCAAGATGAATGCAGTGGGACCCCTTTCAGGACTGCTTTGCACATGCACACTTCATACATCCGAACATGTGAATCAGGATACAAAGAGGAGGGAAAAAAAAAAAAAACTATTTTCATACGCTGAATACCTTGTGTACCGCACAGCCTCCTCTCTCACTGTTCTCAGCTGGTGGGCCTTAATTTCTGATAGCAAACATATGCATGATAGAACTAATAATAGAAACACAAAGACTGCATGGAGAAGGGAGGAGGGGGGCGGCTCTGCCTGCTCCCTTGGCAAGCGCGATTTAGTGGGCTTGCATTTCAAATGGTCTGTTTAACTAATGCGCAGTAATTAGTTCTCCAGAAATGAGCGCACGGATTACACAAGTGTATTGTGGCATCAAGGTGCATTTTGTAAGGGAAGACATCTGCATCCGGCAGATGTATCTTTCTTTGCGCATTACCGCCGTTTTCAGGAGGAGCGCGTTTTATTTAGTGTTGAGTAACCAGCGCCCAGAGGACTGGTAAATGTAGATAAATCGAGTCTGAGGATGCTGTATCGAGAAAGACTGGCACGTTTCAAGCAAAGTGTGAAAAAAAATGAGTCAGTTTTGCGGAGTTGTTAAGTAAGAAACTGTTTTGCATCCTGTGTGATGTTCCCGTAATCATCAGGAGTGTCTGCCTGTTCTCGGCTGTGTGAATAGCCTGTTTTGAAAGCAGCTGTAAAAAGGCCACAGGATAACACTAATGACAGTCTTATGATTCACAAATGGGTGAAGATCCTCTGTCTGATAAACAACCTCCACTCTCAGACTAGGAGCCACTCACACACTCAAGGTTGACAAACCTGCTCACACACAGGGTAAACATAATAAAGGGCAGCACCGAGAACAGCCTGTCATGTCTACATAATAGGACTTAACTGCTAATCATGGTATAGTTTGTGTTATCTACAAATCTGCATTAAACATGTCCTGCTTTTCTTTTAGAACAAGAGAGAAAAGATGATAAAAACACTCTACAGCTATCAAGCAGACTTCATGTTTTCCCACGGACCAAGTTTTACTGTTTGATATATCCTCGTTCCCATGGTAAGCATAGCTGAGAAGCAGAGTTATGGTGGCAGCTTCGATTTATATACTTTCATAACCGAACCTAGAAAGAAGCTATCGTATATTGGCCGGGATTTACGACCCCAGCTCAAAAAAAAGGTTCACTGCTTCTTAGAAAATCTGGAGCTGAAAATGGCAAATAGACCACATTTAAAAATCTATTATATTATGCTTTTCTTTACATCTGATGCCGGCAGCATGTCTCCAAAAATTTGGAGAAAAGTTACATAACTCAAAAACAAAAATATAAAAGCGCCTTGAGGAACACCCTCTGATTTGCATCAGATTAGTAACACGACTGGTTATACAAAAGGCGTTTATTAGAGGTTGAGACTCTCAGGAGTAAAAATGGACACAACTTTGTGAGAGACTGCGTGAGCAACTAGTTCAGTTTGAAAATAGACTTCCTCAAGAGAATAACAGCAAAGACTTGACCTGTCTCTGGAGTGTAAGTCTCCACATAAACTTTAAATTAGGGCCCGACCGATTTATCGGCGAGCCGATTAAATCGGCCAATTTTAGCCTGTTTGAGACTAATCGGTAATCGGCCAAAACTTGCAGATTTTCGCCAATATTTTCAGAAATAAAATGCGGGGAATAAAATTCGGTTTTACTTTGAAAATGTTCCGCCATTTGAAAAGTTCCCCAACTTATCCTGTAGATGGCGCAGCGACCTCATGACAATCTTCATCCACGAACTACCTCACAGCACAGCAGAGTGACGATCTGAAGCAGGCAGCTCAGGGACGCATGGAGGAGATTGGTCCACCTCAACGATAAATAAACCAGTTTGTGAAATACACAACAAGTCAACAAGTTTCAGTTCAACCCACTTCATGATGTTTCCTGCTGTGCTGGTCTTGGTCACGCCGAGTTAACGGTGAAGCTTCATGTAATATGCAAGCTAAGGTTAGAGTTAGCCATCTGCTATTAGCCTTGCTACACTGTTAGAAATGCCAGAAATGGTAGAATAAACAAGAGTACACATTACGTGATCAAGCTACTTCTCTTACTGAAGCAGCTGCATGTCTCCAGATGAGACCGGACCGGAAATGAATAACATGAGTAAAGATGCAGAGGCACTGATCGGCGGGGGTGGGAGTGTGTATATATATTCTAACTTGATAAAAAAAAAATTAAAATTGGCTGATTAATCAGTAATCGGATCCCCCCCCCCCCCCCCACACACAATAATCGGTATTGGCATCAGCCCCAAAAAATCCATATTGGTCGGGCCCAGTAAAAAGTTCTTGATTGTATTTCTAGCTGCACAGGGAAATGTAATCCCAAACAAAGGGCAACTACTCCACATGACTCGAGCGCTCTCTGTACTCTGACAGATCGGTGTCACTTGTATTTCCTGTCTGTGCGTTGTCCTTAATTGGCAGATGTGTGTCAGGTTTGTTTCTGTGTCAGGTTTGTTTCCTCCAGTTCACGGCAAGAATCCTGCTGAGTGTACTAATTGGTTGGACTAAAATGAAGTCATCATCAGTTTCGTTTCACACATCTGCTGATACATTGAGTCATTAGTAACAGCTGAGTGCCACAGACAGACAAAGTAAAGACGCCAAAACAAAATTTGGCGAGGAGAGTGTTTGAGTATGTTGAACCAGCAGAGGAGTGAAAGTATAAGAAAGAGGAGCCCGGCTTTAAACCCTTTGGATTAGCTTTCTGCCAACCTTGCAAAAAAAAAAACCTATCCAAAGTTCCCTCAGCTCTCAAGTAATAACAGGCGTAAGATTAGCAGAAAGTCGCAGTCTATCTCAAAGTGTTTGGGGAACGTGGACTCGCGAGTTTTACATCTGACAGAAAATCGCTATAGTTGGACTGTGTACACCACCTATTCTGATTCACTCCCCGCTCTGCCCTCTCTCTATTTATTCACCAGATGCTTCCATTATTCATTCTGGTGACACTCCGGGATCACTATAAGTTGCTTTATGATGCAGAGCCGGTAGAACAAAACTCCACCTGTTTGACACCCTTAGGGAGCAGACTGATGCGCAGGCCTGGAGGAAATCCAGTCTTGGACCGATGAAAAAAAAGGGAGACTCTGAGGAATAGACAGTACCAGACTTCAACAGCCCACGGACAGAATACTGCGGTCTCAGTTTCAGGTTTTAAAACAGGGACATCTTCAAACCAAGAGTGCTGAGACATCCTATAAAAATAAGTCTGATGCGAGTCATTCCACCTTAAATGGTGTGGTCTACACATTTTCCTTGTGGATGCAACAATTAACTATATTGAGCCCATGCAGTGATTTCCACTTCAGAGTCAAGTCGGTTTTGAATGCAGTGCCACCTGAGGGCCCACAAATCAAGGTTATCTACCGCAGTATTGATTTGCCTTGTTCTTTCTATAATGAAATCCCTGCATTATTTACCATTTACAGACAGCGTGCCCATGCAGAGACTTCACTACAGAGTCAGGTCTGTTTTTAATTCAAGGACATCCAGCCATGAGCTTTTTGCACACTGATTTCCCCAGATTCTCTAAATCTCTCTCCATGCAGTCTTCGCATCTTACAATATTTACTCACGCAGTCACTCACAGTGTCAAACCTCACTATGAGAGGCCCCTTTTAAGGAGGGGTGGGAATCACCAGTGGCCCCACGATACGATATTATCATGATACTTGGGCCATGGTACGATATTATCACAATACTTGGGCCATGATTTGATATTATCATGATGCTTGGGCCGCGATACGATATTATCGCGATACTTGGGACGCGATACGATATTATCACAATACTTGGGCCATGATTTGATATTATCATGATACTTGGGCTGCGATACGATATTATCACGATACTTGGGCCACAATACGATCTGATCATGATACTTGGGCCACTATACAATACGATTCTTGGGCCACAATACAATATTATCACAATACTTGGGCCACAATACGATATTATCACAATACTTGGGCCATGATATGATATTATTGCAAGTTTTTACATCTTGCGATACAGTGAGTATTGCGATACCATATATTGCGAGTTATACAATTTTTTAACCGTTGAGCTAATTTAGCATTTTGCTTTCCTTTGTGTTTGTCTTACAGTATTTTATTTCTATGTAGCACATCTTGCTAAACATACATGTGCTAACTTTCTCCTGCTCTATGAGGTCACCTCTGCCAACCTCACTGGATGAACAGTTAATTTTATTTTCCATTGTCATAGATTTGATTTAATATCAGCAAGACGACATTAAGTCGATTGAGACGATATGATTCATCACTCGACAAAATAACGCGACACTATGCTGTATCGATTTTTTATCCCAACCCTACTTTTAAGAGCACTTATGCAACTCATGAGTCTTTTAAGACTGGAGATGTCCCTTTGTGTGGTTCATTACATCGCATTACACAACTCTGCCAACTTTTCTGCAACGTCACATTCAATTTTTTTTTCCTATTTATTGATGGAAAATTCAGTGATGTGCTTTCCTTGCTCTTTTTTCAGCTACATTTAAGGTCTAACTGATTAGAAAAACAGTCAAACTTTGTTTTTCTCAACATTTTACAAAGACTCTCCATTGTTTTAGATTTGGGGTTGTATCATGAAATCCACAATGAAAGTAGCTTTGAACAAAAATAGCAAAAGAACAGTTCAGACTCCGACTTTAATTCGGATTTGGCTCGGGGTATCTTGTTTTTCTGCCCCTACAAGTTTTTCTTTCATAAGATCAGGTACAGTTGCAGAGTTAATTGAGTGTCTGATGACTTAATAACTACCGAGACTTGAGCTGACCCGCACGGCCTTCATGAACAAGACTTTTCAAGACCAATTAAGGAGCAACGCCACAGCGGGCAGTGAAAGGAGCTGGACAGCGTTCTGAGGCTCCTGTTAAAACCTGTTAGGAGAACAAATGCTTCAAAGTCAAAGCAAAAGAAAGTCTTAACACTCATAATTCCCTTTTTGTTTTTAGGAGGGGATGGATTACCATGCCTTAAAAAGCTTTGGATCATAACACAAGTTGAAGATTAAATGCATTTACAGACAACACGGCTCGGGCGTAAGAGGCGTGTGCGTATCACACGTGACGCTGAGGCACAGGAGGGAGTGTTGCACTTCAAACAAGGGCAGTGAGGTGTTTATTGTTCTCAATAATGTGCTCACTGAGCATTTCATCAGAGCTCTAACCACAGCCCATCGGATTCTATGTGCTGCCTCCCAAACAGCAGCTTTTACAATATTTATAGCCTGTGCAGCAGCATAGACATTCATGACAGGTGCTGAGTCTATACGGGTGACTGTTTCCAAGAAGGCAGCAAATCCTCCTCGCATTGTGCAATATTTCTGTAAAAACTTTTTTCAAACACAGCTCTGCAAAGAAAAAAAAAATATCAATCTGTCCTGTTGAAAATGATTTTAAGCTTAGATTGGGTTTCAGAGCCTTGCAATGATTCTATCCACTCACCAGACTGCAATAAAAAAGACCCACTGGCCTGCAGCAAGCACCGCCTATATGTCTCTTGACAGAGAGGTTTATAGCAACGTTAGTGAAAGAAGCTATTTTCTTCCAGGTCCTGGAGATAGCACACTCTTTGGACAACGGCAACACACCGAAGAGTGACTAAGCACAAACAGGGAAGAGCAAGGAGTGCTTTTTACAACAACTGCATGGTCCTACTTGCTAATCCAAGCTAACTGTCTGGATAGCACCGAAAACTTCTCTTTCATCAACCCTTGTTCTCCCTCTTCCATTGGAGGTCACCAACCAACAGTTGCGTGCTCTACTTATACACAAAGTCACGCTGCTTTTGCTCGGGGGCTGAAACAGAGAACGAGACGGAGGCCGAGACAGAGAATGCGAGATAGTGAGACTTGTTGCGTCCAGCTAGGGGTTGTTTCATTTCAGCCTGACATGGGATAGCAGATTAGAGCCCCCTGCACTCTATTGCTCCACGAGCGTGCGTGAGCGCTAGTGTGTTTCAGCGCGCTTGTGCGGCTTTGTTTGTGCGCGCGTGCGGGCTCCGGCCGTCCATCACGTCCCCTGAGCGCCCTGCAGTGTTCCCAGGCACCAATTATGGCGGGCCTTGTCCCTTTTTTACTCTGCATTGGAAGTGATGTGGCTTGCCCTACAGGGTCGACACCACCGCTACACCCACATATCTGCGGAGATTCTGCCAGCGCCCGCGGCCCTCCATCGCAATCCTGTAGAAAATGATAATTATGACATCCGCCCACTCAAAAGGCAAGAGATAGTTCAACTCCCCTGCTCCTGTTTCCAGCCCTGTTTTTTGACTGATTCAATATTCTGTGGGCTAGCCGTGCCTACTTTCTCTTTGTCGAAGAGAAGCAGAGGCTCACCAATATATCTGCAGGCTTTTTTCTGTTTGAAAGCAGTGTGTCTTAATAAAGTTTCACAATGCTGCCTTCTTTGCTCTACCCTTGAGCCGATACTCTTTAAACTGGAGACAAATTTCCTTTGGCTATTTCACACTTTACAGCAGCAACTTTCCAAACTCACAACCGTGTTTCCTTTATTGCGACTAAATTGCCCAATGGAGGTCGAATTAACAATTTACAGGGTTTGTTTGGTGCTATTGTTTCGGGTCTATTAAAGCCTGAGTGAAAAGGGGGGGGTGTTTTTCTTCACAAAGTGAATTGATCACATGTTCTACCTTTTTTGTCTGCCAAAGCGTGCCTGTTATCGACTACAGCTTGCTCAGTTGGTTTGCAATCTCCTCTTGCTCGCTTAGTCCCTCTGCTTTACTAACACACGCCTGATCACTAACCGTCTAATTTGTGATCACAGAAAGCAAAATAAGCTATGAAATTAAAATTCAGTTCATTGCCCAGCTTTGTTGTATCCAAAAGCACCAATAAAACATAACATTTCCAACTTCTTGACACCTAAAGAGAAAGAAACTGGTCCACTTCTGTTAAATCTAGAAAAATTACAATGAAAATTATTCGCGCTTTCACGATCTTAAGTTTGGAAAAGCGCCAAAATAGCCTTCCATCAGGTCATCAACTGTACCTATCTGACCCTAAAGGGTGGAATCCAACACACTGCAGTCCTCTCATTGGTCCATAGAGCCGTCAATCATCATTCAGCGCCAGAAATAACTCACTGTATTTGCCTCCAGGCCTTGAGTCTCCTCTCAAACAAAGCTAGTCTTTCTCTTGTCATAAACAGCCACATGCTAAGAAGAGATGATACACGATGCAGGATGTCCTCTTTAATCGCCTTTTATTGACCGTGTCGCATTAACTTGAATTTAGTGTCAGGCGAAATTGTGTCACGCTGCTGTGATGTCACACTGTGACGTAGGCGGCGAGCAAAGTGGGGGATTACTTCTAAAACAAGTTTAAGAGTTGGAGAGCGCGCGTGAATTATACTATGCAAAAACAAGAAGTTATTTTCTGATTGTTTTAGACTCTTGAAAGATCGTAAAAAAAAAGCGCCCACACCGAGGCCCCAAAATGCAAGGAGTGTCTGTGTGTCTCTGCTCAGCCCTTCCACTCACTCTCCTCCTTCATAGGCCGAGAAGTCCTGTTGTTTGTTAGGTCCTGTAGCGTCCAACAAAGACACGGGTTACTCTAATGTCTGCAGCAGCCAGACAAAGAACAGAGGAGAGTATGTTTTCAATTAGTCTCGCTCTGCGGACTGTAGAGAGGTAGCTTCACATCACTGTAAACGTACAGCACCACACTCTTCCTCTGGATTATAGTTTTCAGCTTAAAGGAATTTCTCCTCACATGTTTATATTGCCCTTTGTTGTTGTCAACGGTATGTCAAATGCTGGTCTGTGTTCTCAGCTCTATGTGCAAGCTGTAAAGGAAAACGATAAAATGCGTGCCCAGGAGTTAATTGTTTGTTGCTGTGGTATTTCAACAAGCATCAATATTGATTAATTATAATTAGTGTCGCGCCAGGGTTCGAAATTCTAATGCTGTGGCGACATCTTATAATTGGGAAAAAAAAGAAGCAAGGCCATGAATAAAGCAGGAGACAAAACCACAGTTAAAAATCCTCTTGACATTTGCATAATGTGTTAAATTGGCCCTCGTAGGCTATTGTACTTCCGGAAAGCCATAATCAATAATTAAAATCAAGTTATCTGGATACATTAGGGCTTAAGCAGTGAATACGTCTATGTTAGAGGGGTTCGACATCAGACTTTTACTCATTAATTCATCCAAGCGAAAAATTGGGGACCAAAACTCAATGAAGCAATTTGCACCGTGCGGCTAATTGGACACGTCTTTTCTTCATTAGCTCGCAGTTAAATGGGACTACAACCTCACCCCTCTCATTAAAAGAAAATACAGTCCTGTTGAACAAAAAACGGAAGGACAAATAATAGAAATGTAAATCCTGTGGAGAAATAAGGCCTGAAAACAATCATTTCTGATTAGCTGCTTTACATCATGATGCGGTCCTTGCCGAGCACACCTGTGACCACTGACAGAATTAGGAATATTCATGCGCAACAACTATATTTAGCTGTGGACAAATGCCAAAAAAGGGGTTATAAAAGCGTAAAAGACTGGGCTTTAGATGACGAGTGGAATAGAGGAGTGTAGCGCCGGTTTTAGAGGGGAAAAAAAGAGCCATTTGAAGGAAAGTTTTCTTGAATCCAGGAGAGGTAATGACAGCACCGTCTAAGCTCAGCAGCAGTCTTCATTACCATAAGCCCAGCACAGCCGTAGGATACAGTAACTGCGTGTGGCAACCAGCCAGGTGTGCTGGAGGTAATGGAGGACCCTCTGGAATACTCACTGGTCTCTATCTGCTCCCTCCTTGTCAAGTCCAAGCATTTCTCTCTGTCTTTTCTGTTTTTTTACTGGACTTTCTTTACTCGTAAAAACCCTGAAAATGACAAGCAGCTGTAAATTACCCTGACAGGTTTTGCTCACTTAGTTAATTTACAGGAATGGTGGTGATGGTCAGATGTGAAAGGGGGGCAGTGCATACTTGAGCTAGTTGGAACCTGTCCATAATGAACACCTGGATTCCAAGGCTGTTTTTCATAAATACAGCAGGAAGCCCACCTGGTCCATCACTGTTAAAAGACATTAGCATAACTGAGCGTTTTTACAGTTCAAGGTGTTAACAGGCAGCGGGGGATATTTGTGGTGACTCCGCTTCGTGACTTACCGACTAAAACTGAGGAAAACCAGAAGGAGGGCTGCTTCAGCTGTCACCGCACTCAGTCCATGAGTAGACACCGAGAAGGGACGCATTGAAGAGGGGCAAACCTCCTCCACTCCGCACTTTTCCCTCTCCTCCGTCCACCCGCACTCCTATTTTTTTAAAAGAAAACAGCTGACACACAGGCAAACTTCACCCTCTTGTCCTCTCTTTTCTTCCCTGTGTCGCAAAAAAAGCGGGGACTAATTATTCCGACGCTCGAGCAGCCCACGGTGAGGTTCCACTCCGGTCCCGGGATGATGTGTGTATCCCTCCTTTTTAGTGGGAATTCTGGTTAAGTTGCAGGTGCGACTCGCAAAGGGGAAAAAAAACAGAGTTTGAATCAAAAAGAGATAATTTCCCCTCCTTTTACAGTCCACTCAAAAAAAGATGAAAGCGTGTGCCGCGTCCTGCTCTCGCGCCGCGCCGCGCGCTCCGTGTAGTTAACCAATCTGCGATATATTGGAGTTGCTCAGTAATTTGCATGCTGTAGAGGTGGACTACAGAGACGGGGAGCATTGTCAAGCCAGATGCATAAAATGGATGCACTTCCGGTGGTGCCTTTCAGAGTAAAAGCTTGATAAAAAGAGCGGGGATTTTCCATATGTTCAATCATCTTATAGACTACACAACGCAAAAGGTGAATGTTTTCTTATTGGGGAAACCCTTATTAGCCATCTCCACCTTTTTTTCAAACTTCTATTTGACATAATGAACAATTTTAAGACTTTATTCAAAAGGAAGACTCAATTTACTTCCGTTTCTTGCCCGTGTATCTATGGTAACTTTATCATACAGCGAGGACAGCTCTATAGCAGTTATACAGGGCTCCTCCTTCTCTCCGAGCTTCTCACAATACTAAAGAAAAAAAAAAAAACTTGCATTGATGGGCTTTAAATAGCCTGGCTGCTGCACCAAGCCTAAAGGATGGAACTAATGCCATAGAAAAAAGGTAAATCATCCAAAACACAGATTAAAAATCCAGCAAGCCTATAAAAAAGCAAATAAATAGACCTTTTATAAGGAAACACTATTGAACCAGGCCGTCAGATAGGAGAGGGAAATGTGCAGATTTATTAAAGGTGAGAAAGTCTAGTAAAAGTGCAAGTTTGTAGAGGATCTGCACAGTGGGGCGTAAGCTGTTCCCTGTCCTTGGACAAGACGCCAAAGTGCGACCAGTTCCAGCAGAGCCGTAGCTCAGTCTGACCTCTGATCTCCCTCGAGTGCACAGAAGTGATAGAGCGTATCATCATTATTCCAGCTCATGCTCCTGTGTGATGAGCTAAAAAAAAAAAAGGCAAACTGTCTGATAAATCAAAGTACAGCTCTTTGGACAGCAGCTGATTCATCTGCATGTAAATCCCGCCTGTAATTCTCTGCAGCTTACCCGGTTGATCACTTTCAGATGTCTGTGTTGTGCAGCAGTTTTATACGTCTGCCTTTTTAAGCAAAGTGGGTTTGTCACGGGATTAGTGTAAATTTAACTCCCATCTGGAACATCATAGCGCGGTGCAAGTCTATGCTTGACCTCGCTTGTTACCCAACCCAGATAAGGCTTCTCAGAGGAGGAGTAAGGGTGAGAAGTGAAGAAGTACAACCTTGAGAGCTTATAAAGTGGAGAGCTAAGCCTTAAAACAAACTACAGAATGGAAAAAATAGCCGAAATGTAACTCGCTAATTTATTTACATAACCTGAAAACAGCTAAGAGTACGTGATGCATACAAATTCATCCATTCAGACAGAGCTAAATCAATATTTAACAGTGCTTTTCTTACTTGGCAGTGATAATACCCCAGAGCGGATGTTGTGTGTTTGAATCAGTCCCGCAAAGTCACTCCTTAAATAACTCCCAACCCAAAGTCTGACTCTCCATAAGAGTAAATATACTGTATCCTTTCAGTGTTGGCTTTGTTTGAAAAATGCTCTGAAACTACAGTGGCTTTCTCTGTTAATGAAAGCCGCAAAGCCATTAGGCACCTTTGTCAGGAGTTTTCTTTATGTGCTGTTCCTAAGTACTCCAGGTACTTCATCACATGGACGTGGACTAATAACAAATACAGTATAGAGATAAGGAGGATATCTGTTTTGGTTTTGCTTCTTTGCTCCAGACTGGTAGGAAGAGTTTTTGTCTAAAACAGGGGCAGTTGATTTTTAAATATTCATCTTTTCCTGTCAGTTCGATCAAACAATAAGGTTCTTTTCCTTCACCTAATGCAACATTGACTTATGCAAAAATTTCTGCAAGAGGAACGTCGGAATAAATAGTTTTTGACACATTTCAAAAGGAGTCAGAGTCAAGGACATGAATAGTGACAAGTCACTATGAAGCTGCTGTTTCCAAAAAACAAAACAAGCTGAGATGGTGAGTTTGATGTAGGTCAAACCAGATTTTGACGGTTTTGTCAATAATTTAAACCTCAAATTTAGCGCAAAGACAGATATCAAAAGTTAAAACTGAAAAAGTGTTGAAAATAAATATTGATTCAGATTTTTTGCTGGCGAAGTGTTTCAAAAAAGCTAAGATAGTGAGAACAAAAAACTTGAAAAAGTTGTGCCCTGATGGAAAGAGCTTCACTGCCCTGTGAAGGACTATGTGGTTCGGTTTTCAGAATATTTCAGGGAATTCGAACAATCTGCAGTACATAATATCAATAAAAGATTCAGAGAGTCTGGAGAAGGCTTCACACTAAAGCTAAAAGGCTGCAAACGAATACTGTACAGGCTTACTGCATTAAGAAAAACAGACATGACTCTGTAGTGCAAGTCACCGCATAAGCTAAAAATCACACGCAAAAACCAGTATCCGATCATTGTTCCTTAATTAAAATCAAGTAAGTGTTTTATTGGTTGAATAATGCACATAAACCAACAAACAAAACCATCAAAATTGTTTTTTGCACTTTTTCTCACTTTGAACTTTGAATCATGATAAGTATCCTGTTTAATTTTTATAAGCACGGTGATATTGATAATATTGCATTAAAAATAGACATGACTCTGATGTGGAAGTCATCGCATAAGCTCAAAATCACTTCCAAATGTAACTTTTTGTTGTCCCCGTCCACATATTTTCAAACATATTGCATCAAATTTAAAACATGTTTATATATTTCATTGATTAAATTATATTTTTCCTTTTTATTTTAAACATTTGATTTGTTGTATTCACACTATTTCCTATCGGATGGATACTCACAGTTTTACGTAGTTTTCTGACTTTTTTGAACTTTTTTTCCCCAATTTCATTTATTTATACTCAAATGTATTATCATTTTTTATGTAGTTAAAAAGATATGCCTCCGTTTGCATTAGCCACAGATATGGGAGTTCTAGTGTTATGTTACAGGAACTGAAACAACGCAGTCTTTTTTTAAACTACATCTAAAAGAGACTCAGATTCCCCTTGTGAAGTTGCATCTTATTTATACCCGGACAGTTTTCTGGAAATTAGATTTAATAATCACATTATCGGCCACTTGGGTCAGACAAAGTAATTTGATTTGACTGGAGACATTCCATGAACAGTGATATAAGGTACATGTGTCTTCTCTGAGTCCTCAATAGTATCAAATACTGTAATCGATGCAGATTGATCAAACCACACATGCCACCAAAGCAATAAACAAATCGTGAACTAAGCAGGTTGAAGCCAAAGTGGATACGCACAAACTGTAGCTCCTTGAATTTCCACTAAAAGCTGGCTGCAAAAAGCCCACTCTTGCAGCAGAAACAAACTTGTTTATAACCTTGGTTCAAAAAGGGTTTTGGTTAGATTTGGACCAATATTTATATCAAAACACCAAAAATCTGCTCCTGTGTTTCTTATCATAGCTAAAAAGCAGAACTCTGACCAAGCGTATTATTAGAAACCCCTTAAACTGCAATATTGGCCCTCTAGTAAATACCAGCTCCCAATATTTGACTTTAGCTGAGACAGTCGGGGATGTTGATTCAACCTGATGCTATTTACTGAAGCTCATGCTCTGCAGCTGCTGCAAGAAAATATCCGGTAGGAGCCTCTCAGGTAGTGCTGAGCTCCCCTTTGTGACAACTACTGCTCCATTTTTAGATGTGTCATGACGTTCAAGAGTGTCTTTTTTTATCAGATTATACCATCTTGCTGTGCTTGCAAAAGCACTCAATCAGCTGCATATTGACAGCAATTAGTCGTAAAGTAGTCAGACTTGAGAGTGTCAACACTGGTGCTGAGTTTATCCTATTTATGCGAGCTGCTTTAAAAAGGGATTTTTGTTTAATGTTTGTTTTTTACCCAGGGATTCCTGAGATTTCCCTGCTGTACTTAAGGCTTTAAGATACTGATCCAAGCGCTTCAGGCCTGGGGTTGACATTTTGTGTACCAAACGGCATCATTAAAACTAAAAGCAAACTGAAAAGTAGGGTGACACTCACAAAGGAACTGTCTCTTTGGCAACTGTTCAAACATTTCCGTCCTATTTTCAACATAATCATCATACTTAACGGCATGAAAAGCTCAGCTGTACCCACAGTGTGTGATGATTGAGGCTTCCTCCTGTGCTCCTGCACTAATGAGAGTAAAGTTACCTCTGTATGTTGAGGGGGGACATTTAGTGTCTCGTAACGGCACAATTTACCTGCCTCCCGCTTGTCCTTCAAAGCAGCACATGACAAGTTTTAGCCATGAGAGATTTTTCAGAGCGAGTTAGCAAACTGATAGTAAGACATCATCTGATTAATCCCTGAAATCTGTGGTTGAACTCTTTGAATGCTTGCTTTATTTCCAAAAGGTTCAATTTGTAACAAGGCCACATGAACTTAAGAGGTATTTGTTTTCTGAGTTATTTTAGTTGCAGTGTTTTTATGCATACTTTAAAAGGTCTCGAATCGCAACTTTCTCTGACATATCTTGTGCATTTCAGTAGTTGAGGACCATCCTTTGCAAATCAAAACAAAGAAAAAAGGTTCTCAGCGTTATGCAACACTGTTTCCAAAAGATGAGATGTTGACACAACATCACACAAAAGAGCATGAAAACAAAATTTGATGGTTTGCACATCATTGAACCCAATAGATAAAAATTGTGACAAATCAAAAATATTTGTTGTTTCGTTTAAAATCTGCTAACATTCAAAAAAAGTTGCAACATGGACAAAGAAAACAACAAAAAAAAAAGGTTCTGTACACCGAACAGTGTTGTTGCTAGATTTAGTGACTATTCAGACCCCTCTAGCGACAAATCTGTTGATTTTTTCTGGAGTTTAGAGACTCGAACATGAAAGCGGGTATTGATGTTACTCTTCTCAATGGGTAGCCAGTGTTCGGCGGTGGGGAGAAATTATGCAAATTAGGCGATGACGTCATCTAGCGACTTTTACGACAGCCACTGGTGATTTTCCTTACTGAGGAATTGGCAACACTGCCACAGAGGCTGGGTCTCACAGACGTTAAGATCGGATGAAGTTCACCACCTTGCATAGAATTATGTTTCTCAGAGTAAAGTTGTCAAGAATCAGCGGACAAAATATCATGAAATT